GTAGCTGCTATTTGAGATTAAAAAGTTGACCTGTGTACTAATCAACTTACTACGGTTATCCGAAGCTTCACAATAAGGCTAGTGAACTCACAAACATCGCTGAGCTGAAAGTTATTTACCTGCCCAATATTGGTATTACTAGAACAGAATTATCCCAATTCGATATTACTGGAAGGCTATTTAATATGATTGTGAAAAGCGGTTAATATCTAAATTTTGACTGGATACAACGGTAGTTGTGCTTTCAAGCCATGGTTGCCTTAAGGATGCCAGTATTGCTGTGTAGAAATGGCTTCACAGCTAATCAAAGCCATATGTTGGTAACAGGAGTGTCGCTCCAAACTTGATCGATGGAGCAGGTTCGTACAACGCAGCGTATTGAAGTTGTCCCAAGCAATAAGGGGTTGTGCAATTTTCAAAATTATGTAATCTCTAATGTTGAACGTTGGGGTCTAGGAATTAGCAAGTGAAAATTTGTTTACTTGTTTGGAATGCTGCCCTGCGTTGTACACAAATGATGAAGTTAAGAACATTTTCCGGTCGCGCTGAGAAAAATCCCTAGATGCAGGCTAATTTTATGAGATTATCCGAATTTAAAAATCAAAGAAAGAACGAAAAATCTGTTTCCCAATTCAAGCTATTGAGGAGAAATTTAACCCTTCATAACTGTTGAACTACTCAAGAGTCCACGATTCACGAAACACGTAAAACGGGTGCCGTTGATGGACAAGTCTGGACCTACTTAACATGAATTCAAAAGTCAACAAAGAAATGTTCCTAGGACAAGTCAAAGTTTTAATGTGGGAAATATTTTCAAGCTGTTGCTTTTTTAGTCAAACAGAAGAATTAATTCACGGTTCATGGAAAGTTGAGGAATGTCACCGTTTCGTGCACTGCTACGGATGTTAAAGTTTGAGATTAGTGAAAGATTCATCCAGTTTGTGCTTGAAGGGGTCAATTATGGGCGCAGAAACAACGTGGAGTGGGAGAATTCCAGATAGTGCACACTCCGAGGATGAATGAGTGACGCCGGCATTCTAGTCGACATTTTTTGAGCACTAATTTGAATGAGTTCCCCCTGATGTGAGTGCTGGAATACAAGGCAAAGAATGAACGACATGGGTAATCAGGGTTCTAAATTATTTGATACACCACAATCAAGTCACCTTGAATGCGGCGATACTGTGTGGAGTACAGTTGCAGTGATTCCAGTCTTTTCACATAATTCTTGAAATGCAGTCCCTTGACTATTTTGGTGACCACTCTGTGGACGTTCCAGAGACTTCCGATTGCGTTGCAGCCAAGGATTGCACGTTCGAATTGCATACTCGATGTGGGGCCGAATTTAGGCTAAAAACAACCGTGGAAACAAAGTAGGTTCCAATTTGCCAAGTATTCGCTTTAACAAACCAACATGTCTTACAGCGGTGGACAATGCCCTGGAGCTGTTTAAACTGGAACTTAGGTCGTTTTGGACAATGACACCGAGATCTTTCTCATTCGAGACGTACGGAAGTTGATCTCCCAGGAAATACGGAAACCGAGTTTTGTGGCCAAGGGATACGACCGTACATTTGGATGCATTAAATTCCATGTCGTTTTCGATCGACCATTGATAGACAGCATTTAGTGTTCTCTGAAGTGCCAGTGATTCCTTTGGTTTTTTCACTGTTTTCCATAATTTTGCATCGTTTGCAAACATTAATGCTTGTGGCCCCAGAATTTCCCTTAGGTCATTTATAAAAACAAGAAAAAGTTGAGGACCGAGCACGTATCCCTGTGGAACTCATCGTGCTACGCTAATGGGATCAGAAAGTGATCCAGAAACGCCAACTGCCATGGTGCATTGTCGAAGAAATTCTTTTGTTCAGCTCAGTACAACTCCTCGTATTCCATAATTGTGTAGTTTGCTGAGTAGTATTTTGTGGTTCACTTGGTCGAATCAATTCAGTTTAGGTTGTACAACCATTAACCACGCATATTCGTGCGCCGGCTTTGGTTGCTGTCTTTTGGCTGCCCATTGGGATGAAGAATAGGAGAAGAAATGAAAGTTGAAAGTGGAGTCGAACAGAAAATGGAGAAGTTCAGTGGACTAAGGTTGCAAAGAAATTGAGGAGATGCACGAACGCCACTGTTTACGACACCCAGCCATATCACTTAGTGTCTCTAATCATCGGTTACGATCACCCCGAGGTCCCCAGCCAGGGAGCCTAACAGGACCTATGTGACCCATTCTCCTGGTTAGGGTTTTCATGCCCTCGTGCCAAAACCTAACTTGACCACTCTTGGCTTTTTTCCACTCGGTGTCAGCTTCGGCGAACACCGTTCGCAGTGGCAATCTATCTGGTGACATGCGTAACACATGCCCCAACCAACGTAATCTATAGAGGTCGACCACTTGCTCCAGTGGGCTACCGCGGATACCCAAAACTCTGCGCCTAACTTCAGCATTGCTCTATTACTTCCCAAGTGAGAACGAGGCTGGGTGCTGGACGAATCCAGTCTTGCAGTAACATCTTACAGTTTGAAGGTACAAAACGCATACCTAATATGGCTACACTGACATTCAAGTTATCCAGAAATCCTTGCAACTTACCTGGATCTTCACTTAGTAGCACAATGTCATCTGCATACTTTAGATCAGACAGCCTACCATCTGGAAGTAAATCGATGCCACTTTCCTCGTACGAGGATAAGGCTGTTTGCATGATCAGATCTATAACAAAGTTAAATAGAAATGGAGAGAGAGGGCAATCCTGACGAATACCACTTTCTGTGGTGAACTCGGGCGAAAAAGTGCCGTAAGCCCGGACTCGACTTCGGCTTTTAGCATAAAGCGATCGTAATATTGAAATTAACTCCTGGGGCACACCTTTCAGAGAAAGGCAGCGCCAGAGTTTAGAGCGGTCGACTGAGTTAAAAGCCGCTTTCAGATCTAGGACACTGCATCACTGTGATCAGCTGCTTTTATCCACTTCTCTCGGGTCAGAAGCAGGTTAATGGTATGCGATCCCCTGCGACAAAACCCTTGTTAAGTAAGTGACTCATCACATTGTCTGCAACAATGGATTCCATGACTTTGGATACTACGGGAGGAGAGTAACGGGGCGATAGTCAGCTAGGTCACTTCGACAAGCACCACTGTATATTGGAGAATTTATTCTTTCTTTGTATGTTTGTGGGAGCACAGTTTTGTCGAACATTTGTTGGAATAGTTCACTTAATGTGAATGTTATTAACACCATAATATTCACGATAAAACAACACATGGCGCATCGATTTTTCGATACACTCCTACCATCATTTGGTCCCGATGTGTTAAGGTGTTCACTTAGTGGTTGGGCTAAGTTACTTGCCAGGTTGATAACGGGGTTGTGGATGGATATTATCTATTTCCGGAGATGAATTCCTTTTCAGTCACTGCAGTTTTGATGGTGTGGTTTCTGGGGAAAAATCAATTGTTGCGAGCGTTGAATATGATGCATCCTAAAGTAACAGAGGCAGTCGGAGTACGGTGTTCGCAGACACGGTGAACACACGAGTGTACTGACAACCAGTTCTCCTAATTTAACATAATTGTTTGACCCATTCCTACTGAACAGTAAGCTGTGTTATGTCTAGCGTCCGAATGCAAAGGTGGCGAGTAGGAACAGTTTCACTGTACACTGATTCTCAGCTTTTCAGTTCAGACTTCAATTGCTTCATCTCTACACGACGAATTCCAACTATAAGCTGTGTTATGTTCAGCGTCCTAATCAATCAGGATAGATAACGATCGTTTCGCAGGAGCAGCTTGGAATGTAAATGATGAATGCTGAAGACTTCTGCGTGTTTCGACCATCCTTTGGGGTGTCTTATCAACGTTCTTCCTAGGCACTAACACTTACTTGGAAAGTGTGCTTTGTTGGTTACTTGCATGCACGTAATGGATTGGGTGTACATCCTCAATTCTCTTCGATTGTGCTCTTGATCTGCAATCCAATTATACGTGTCGCGTTAATGTACAATTTGGTTGCAAAGTGTAGTGCAGGTAGAATTTTCACGAGTTTCCGAGGACAATGTGTAATACCGTTTAAAATATATCCATTTATTACCTCGAATATCACCAAATTAATAAACAATTGTTCAACTGATTGTTGAACGATGCAACATTGATCAGAATGTGAACGTTTTCATGCTCCTACCAAAAGAACCGTGAACCATTCCGTTCCCTATCTTGCTCGCTTTTCAACTAACCGGATACATGTCTGTCTCAACGACAAACTTCTGGATGGTGATGGCCAAGTGGTTAAGATCATCTGATTGGTGNCCCCCCCCCCCCCCCCGCCGACCATTTTCCCCATTTTGGGATTTTCCCAGACAGCCTTTATATGGCAGCGGCCCCCTCCCTGAAACTTGACTGTAAATTTGTTTATTAGATAAATAAAAAAGGAAGTAAAATTCAACTTTTTACACTGGGCGTTTTCTTTCCGTCGCTCGTTTTGATCGCTTTTCTCAATTCTCTCCACTGTACACTTTCTGGATGCATACAGCTTACTCCGATTTGAACTACCGTATATCAGTCTCTATACCCGCCCTTTAAATGGTAAACCCCGTCGACAGTGAGTACCAACGATAAGTTTAGCTACAAAACTGAAACGGAGGCGAGTGCTCCACAAAACCAATCAGTGCTATCCTGCATGCTAGTCCTACTACTTTCGGATAGAGACAAAGCACCGGCAGTGAAAAGCTTCAAGCACTTTACACTATCAATTTGCAGCCACTAAAACAAACACTGGCGTCTGTAATTGAACAGAAAATTTATTCCTCGAAAGAACGAGAATGAATTACAATACAAACTTCTATCCATATTTTCTTGCTTTCCAGTGGAATATTTTAGAAGTGAGTTAAATTGTTGCTTCTTTGTTGACGTCAATCTCAGTGGTCCACAAAAAATTGGGTACACAATGAAATAATCTACCAAAAAGCTGAAAGACAATGGAACAAACCAGTGTTTACGTTTAGAAATGCATCGATCGTTCCATTGGGGTTGCTGCACAGAACATGCTGCTCTCCTAGAGGGGAATTTGAGGACAAAGGGAAGCTTCGTGTTGCTTGTTCAGACGAGTACAGTGAGCCGCGTAGGCGCAAAGTTGCGGTGAGTTTTCCCCGAAAAGTTTTGAGCACGTTCTGGAGATGAAAGTGGAAATGAAATAATCTGCAATTGGAGTTCACAGTTGCAAAGAGGGTCTTATTTTTTTACTCCCTAGGCCACTGCGATGAGGTCTTAGCAGTTGAATGTCTATCGGAAAGAGCGCGAGGGTGGGCTTTACCAGCCCCTGCTCAAACCGTAAGATAAATACTTTCACAAGTCTAGCTGAAGTTAATGTTAATTTGCATCTAGGACAGCCTTCACTTTGTCGAGTGTAGACGGTACAAAACATAGAGGTTGCACCGCAGAATTTATTCAGTTTTGCTGTCGTACTACAATGCATGGCGAAAACAATGTATTGGGGTTGGGTACATGCACCAGGAAAAAGTAGATGTCAAAATAATTCAATCTCAATGATTTGAAATTATTTTATTCATAATGCAACTATCATTATTCGTAATTATGAGTACTGACATTGTCACAGCAATTATAGGGCACAAGTTTGTCAATTGGACTATGTCGACTACCTCAGTTCAAAAGTATCTCGTGATTTGATGTGATTTACCGACGACAATTCGGGTTTACCACTTTAGTATCGTGAGCACAAAGAAACTGTCATGGACCCAAAGAGTCCAAAATTGCAGAATAACGATGAAACAGGTATGGTGAAAATATTATCGAAAATCCTGTAATGGATTTAGTTGTAACGAGCAATTCATTGTTAATCCTCATCAACAGTACGAATACATCCATCAGGGAAGTCATTTATTCTCAACAAGCGTAACCAAATAAACTGTGTTAAATCGCTTCCGACAAGTTATTTCGCACTCGGGTTCATAGTATACTTGACTTCTTCTGGTGAAGTACTGCCAAGTGATAATCCAAGTAAGTTGCGGGCTTTTCTGGATTGTTCTGGTTCTAGTGTACCGATTTCGTTTCATCGCTATCACCAATACATGCACGCTCTTGTAGGTGTTGGGATATTGACCAGTTCCTACCGGCTACCGCCCATCTGTTGGTGACAGCTTGCACCTAATAGCTGGCGACTTCAACCACTTCCCCCTGCACACTTTATTCTACCTAGACCTCAGTGATCTTATGATTAAAACAAACAAAATAACCCCTCAACTAGATCATATAATTATAAATCACCCTGACATTTTCTACAAAATTTTTATTCCCGTTAGACACCAGTGATCATAACCTGGTCCTGGTCAGACCTAAGATTTGTTTACATTCAAGACATTTTTCTTTCACTCGACCTAAACACATCGTGCTCCGTGAGATCTTTTCTCAGACATTGTTGGTATGCTAAGAGAGTCTTTCAAAGTAGTACTGACTGTTTTCCTTTAAACACAACCTGTTGTCTAATATGGCATTTATAACAGATGTGTTAAACCGTATTTTGACATGTGCTGTCCTGTGATAACTTTGTTCCGTCAACATGGCAGGTTATCAACACTTTCTTGAATGTCTTTTTGCCGGCCATATCAAATAATTTTCAGTGCTTCTGTTGATATTGAACATTTATTCATCCTTTGTTTGACACATGTCCCACTTAGATTAATTGACTCAAGTCCTCTGAACATTTCATCTTCGTTTGAACCCATTACCTCTAATGAAATGTATAAACATATGCTTTTTCTCAAGGTGTCGACCGCATCTAGACCAGACAATTTTACCCTTATACTATTTAACACGGTGTTGAGCCACTGTCTCACATTTCTGTCAACAATTAACCTTTTACTCGAACTCCAAACCATTCCGGAGCATTGACGCCCTGCGGGAATGGCACCCATCCCCCAAAGGAACGACAACGATTCCAAACGCGAAACGTTTCAGGCCAACTGCTCTCACTTCCACTGGTTTTAAATGGACGGATTAGTCAGTTATACATCGCCTCCAGTTTTCCCTCACCACGCCCGATGNGCCCGATGACAGCTTAATTACGCTGATGATATTACCAGCCCTGTTCCCGTATCTAACCAGTCAAAATTGGCTGCATATAACACTAACTTGTCTCACTTCGTTACGTTTTCCAGTTTATCTGGTTTTAATCCTAATTCCCCCAAAATACAATCAATGTACTTTTTTACATTCAACCGTTTACCATCTCCCTCAGAAAATATAATATATATATAATATAATTTCACGGAAAGCCAACGAGCGACTTCGGCAATGTAAAGTACTCAGGTGACACTCTTGAAATTAACCCTCACTNTCACTGGTCTTTGTACACCCAAGCTGTTGCTCGCAAGCTGAAAGTTTTCCACTTTAAGATAACAGGATTGCGTCAGCTCTGACTTGTTGGGGATAGGAGCTTTTGGTCAAAAATGTATCCTCCCTATACCCTTCACTGCTCTCTTGTGATCTGCCTTGATTTGATGAAAGGTGATTTCAAACAACTGAGGTGGGGAGACTCAATGAGCAGCCATGTTTCTCAAGTTCCTTTATCCGAGCTAATCGAAAATATGTATAATGCTCATATTGATGCGTGCTTGAAGTTTACTGACAGTATTGTATCTGACTGCACATTTACCTGCGTACATGCAAATACCACCCACCCACCCATTACAACTACAAACTCGTCTCACCTCGAATATCTCCATGAGAAACTCCTTGGCACCCTATCTAGCCCGGACAGGGACCGAAAAGTAGTGTATTTGCCCTGAGCCTTCTAAAACATTTAGTAATGTAGTTCACATTTTGCACTCAAGATGCTTTGCTTCCTACTCCCCCCCCCCGCCTTCCCATTTTAGCAGTATTGTGGCGGGGGCCTGTTTTTACTAAAAGCTTTTGGGTTCAAAACAAGATAATATAATACAATACAATACAATATTCATGTCAAGTCACGAACTACTTTATTCAATCCCATGGATAAATTTTCAGCTCACGCGCTTTGCACGCTCTCCCTGTAAACTATTTCGACACTCTAACTGAGGAATTACTAGGAGAGATGGATAAATTTCGTTTCATGGGCACCTGTATCTCACCCGGATGAAGTTGCGCCTAAAGTGTGTCGAGAGTATAAGACCCCCGATCAGCAGACTTGCCTACACAGGACGAGAAAGGTTTTCTGGATGGGGGCCTGAGAATCAGCGTGGCCGGTGGTGGGAAACCTTGATTTCAATGAGTGTTACAAACAGTGTAACTTGTGCATCTACTCAGTGTCCTTTCAATTTCAATCTTTATTGATTTCCTATTTTTATCTAGACACTGCTTTTAATATTCCAATCTTCCCTTCAGTAATTCATCTGTATAGGCAGCCAAAAATGGCAACCAAAACCGCAGCATGGAAATGCATTATTAATTGTTCAAATTGAAACTAGATTTGACTAATTAATATTGTGGAGAGAATTAGTTTCAAAATTTCAAGAAGAAGAGTGAAATTGACAATAGATTACAGAAAAGCAGAGTGAAATGCTAACAAGTAACCAAGAAAAAGCGCCGTGCCTGTATATGGATTGGTCACTCAGAGGCATTCAATCAAAGTCATCCAAAGAATTGATTGCATCTGTTGTGCGGTAGTTTTTATTGTTTCTAAACTGACGTGTCATGGGGCACAGTGAACAGCAGATGAAGATTGCTCTTGCAATTTCAAGGAGGCAGTATTGAAAGTTTAACTTTTAAAATCGGGACCTATGTTGTGCCTTTTGGAAAGAATTAAATGCTTACCAGGCCCACACACACTTGGGAATAGTAGTCGTAGTTCCGGTGACAGGATATATAGGTGTATGCGCAAAGATATGTGACGGGGATGCTGCACTTTGGATGAGAAGTGTGGATCTAAGGCAAGTTGGATCGGCTACAGATGGCATCTCAAGCGAACGTATAACCTGTCTTATTTTCTGTACATTTTATAGCAGCCGTTTGTTCGTCCACTTTCTCTTCTTTAAGCGTATTTGCATCATCATCCGGTGGTTAAGGTCATCAAAACAGTGCCCTGGAAGTCCCGGGTTTTTGAAATCTCAAACAGGAGATTGTGGCCAAATGAGCGATATGGAAACAGTCAAAACCGAGCTATCTTACCCCCGTTTTCGTGACGAGATGGCCTCCAAATCGGGCCATTTCCACTGTGGTGCATCCAGTCCATTACCAGCGAATCTATGCAATTTGGTTGTTTTCTGAAATGAACAAACGTACAAGTCGTGTAAGTGTGTGTGGGGGGGGGNTATAAAAAGTACATCGATAAGTACAGTTACTGCAACTTTATTCGGTGATTTCGGTAATCTTTGTGTATCGACCTGAGAGAAGTTATCATTGTTCCGCAGCCTAAGCAATCCATCTCCTTTATCCTGTTTGCTAATTTATGCTTCCTTTCACCAACTAGAAGCATTTCGAATGTTTCGATGGGATAATTCGATTCGAAGGTTTATGCTAAACTAGTCACCTTAATTTGGAATTGCAGATAGGACTTTGGATGCGCTCATAACTAACAAAGTGGGCCGGGGTGATTTGTTATCTAGCGTTTGTAATTTATCTGAACAGACCACGACTTCAGTGTTCAGATGGGTTGGTGGATGAACCGCTTTGAAGAACAATAAAAAACACGGTGAAAACAGTAGGTTTCAGTTTTTAAATAGTATGTATTATCATTGTTTTTTATTATTTGGGATGACTGACAAAGAGCACTAAACAACCGCTTCATGCTTATGGTGCTTTGTAGCCTATGCATATAATATTTGTGTCCAAGCCATGATTTTCGAAATGCAAGCCTTCTGATTGTTAGTAAAAACCTGTAACCCTGATCAAGCGATCTATGAACCATGTCTTGAGTGCATGATCAGACGCATTCCAAAAACACGATCACGAATAATTTTGAGAGTAGGAGGCAAACAGAGACTCACTTCCAGATAAAGTTTTCCATCGGGATCCTGTCGCCATTTAGGATATTTCGAATCGCACAATTGAAACGCCTTCAGAGGTAGATTGAGAAAACGTGGTTGCACGCCCCGGACACGTACTAGCCAATCCAAACGGTTCAGAGATCTCGCGAATGCCATATGCCCGTGTTTGCGTGCAATGGCAAGCGGAGTGACTCCGTCACAGTCAGTAACACGTAAATTTGCTCCTGATATTCATTGGGAGAAAACACGAAGCGAGTCAGGAAAGGTCACTGAATTTCGGTAATCGATTTGCAGGTAAAGACAGTAAAATTTATACGACAATGCCTATAAAGGACAGATTCTTTTCTACAAATTTTTGTGAGCCAACTGCCGTACATACAGCCTATCGATGCGAACTGGTAGCAAAGACCTGCGTGATTCGCTTTCAATTCACAATTATTTGTGACTATTGATGTGGGAAAAATGTTATTGGTTTGAACAGACTGTCTTTGAGACTTCATCCTCAGTTTATCTGGGTAACGGCACACTCGGGAAGAACTGGACATGAGTGTCACTTTCATTAGAGCTCATCCCGCCCGAATTTTGAAATCCGGACCCATCGTATGGAAGATGTGTTTCCACTGTGCCAACCAGGTCGTAATGGACCTATCGGAATAACTTACTCATGTTTATTCAGGTGTCGTCTTCAGGATTCATTGACAATTTAGTGGGATCCGAGCCAATAATTTTTTCGAGTGTATGGTTGACTGGATGAATTGGGATTGTAGTGGAGATGAAATCTGAAATATGGTCAGTGCAAATCATTTTTGTCCTTGTAAATCACAGGCTTAAGATCAATAAACATTTCAGGGGGGATGACATCAATCACTAGATTGATAAAGCCTGTGAGTAGTGTGTGTGGGATAATTGATTTTTATTGATTTTAGCTGACTATCCGTCGGACTTCACCTTCACGAACAATTCTCAGTTTATTGATTTAACCATTCAACCGGAAGCACTAGACTCGAATTTCGCTCTCATTGGAGCTCATCAGTAGTGCATATCCACCGTCTCGTCCGGGCCTTGAACTCCGGACCCATCGCATGGAAGGCATGTGTGTTACCACTGTGCCAACCAGCTCATACCATGGCTGAATCAAAGTGCCAATTCATGTTTGTTCAGGTATGGTCTTCAGTGATAGTCATTTCTTTCGGCCCGACAGCAACGAAGGGAGACAAATGACAATCCGTTAACTCTGTTAACGCACACGCCTTCCGCGTGATGGGTCTGGAGTTCAAATTCCGGACGGGATGGTGGATATGCACTACTGATGAGCTCCAATAAGAGCGAAATTCGAGTCTAGTGCTTCCGGTTGTATGGTTGAATCAGTGAACTGAGGATTGTTCATGAAGGTGAATTCCGACGGAAAGTCAGCTCAAATCAATAAAAAGACAGATATCTTAATGAACCCACTAATTACGGAACTGGAACTCTTATTTTTGTGTTGTCCACAATCATGAAATCGGTTTTGGCAGACTCCTCGATGAAATCCTTAGAACGATATGGCAGCTTAATAAGTATTTCCAACAAAACGATACTTGGGTGCCAACTTATTTCTTGATCACCGTACTGGGCGAAAGCTGTCGACAGTCGAGCGCTCGTCATAGGTAGGATTGTCACCGACGATGAACTGTGTGAATTTGTGTTTCTGGTTCGTCATCCGATCATATTGGTGACCTATAAAATTCATCGGGGATCTGTGCTTGGGACGCGACATTCCTCGTTTTAATAAAGCCTATTGGATATTCTAGGACCACAAACAATATTGTTTGAAGACGACGTTCAGATAGAAAATCTAGCCACATACCCTGAGGGTATGGTGACAACAACTCGGGAAACACGTACACTATTGACTTTTTTAAACAACGTGTGATCCTGTGTCAAATGGAAAAGCTTGAACACTATTCCACAAGAGAATAGTTCCTCGGAAATCAATTGATATCCAAAAATAAAGGTCATCAAGATGTTTAAACAGACTGCACTATAAGATCTATTTATCACCGAATTAGAAGTGACCTAATTTTAGTGTACCAAATAATGAATACCGCTAACCTGTATCATTTGCCGCTGGCGTTATCACCAAAAGTACCGCTCTATGGAGACAGATTCATTTAAATGAGCAACCCGTGGATAACTAACAGAATGCCCGTGTCAATATTTTGTCACCAAAGTGTGCCTCACATGAAACTCGCCATCATTCCACATCCTTTGCGAGACAATCTTTGAATCATTGATTTCCGACTTTGATGTCCTTCCCATTCCAACACTCTAGAAAATGCACAAAAAGTGCAATCCTTCAATGAGCTATTATATTTTATATCGGTGATTGTTTACGAAATTCTTTATTCTAAACAAGACATGAAATCATTGTATGAAACACCGTACCGGACAAAAGATTGGTTGGTATTTGCATTTCCCGTATTCATGGTACTTCAAATTTCATATGCCTGACGCATTATTCCCTTTAGTCTGACATTTTTCTATCTGAACTTAAATTCATGAACGANCCCCCCCCCCCCCATGACAAACCGACTGATCACAAATCGGTTCTGAACCACACAAAACATTTTACAAAGGTAAATCATCTATAAATTAGAAAGAATAAAGGTAGACATTTTCCCAGGTATGCGGTATCCTCCCTCTCCTGCACGAAACCCACAATATCTAACCAATAAGCACTTGAGGGTGCGTTTCGGCGTTAAACTATTTAAGTTTCACAAGTCCCCAAAAAGGTTGGTCAAAAGTGGGAATGTTTGACTGAGCACGAACAAGGACAGCGATAGCATTTCTACACTCAGTTCACGAAACCACTCGTCTACCTACTACGCGGACCGAGAGACTGTTCCGATGAGTTGGCTATATCTCACAAAGCCTGAATTGAGAAAAACAACATGGAGGTGAACAAGACCGTGTTCAGTTATTCGTAATTGTGCCATTACATAACATTTAATAGGACTAACAAAAAGAACAAAAAGGGAATGAGAAATTCGAGTCCTAGTGGTTCAGCTACGGCTCCAAACGTTACTGTTTGTGTATTATTGATCGCAGTTTCAAAGGTTGAAGTGATTGGACACTTGTTCTGGGGTGGATGAATTTGATCAGGGCAGATCAAGTGCTTGCACGAATTCCTTCAGGGCGCACAAGGAAGAGTGTGTGAATCCGAATACTGACTACTTTGGCCGTGGCTAAGATACGATGCTTTACTGTTCTTGCTTGTCTACACCGAATCTTGTAAATCAGTCTCCGAACGCTCTTGCCAAATCCACCGAGTGATTTTAATCAATGAGATGCAAGCAAACCGCGCTCGTAATTGAAATAATCGTCCTTAGCCAAGCCCCGATGGTGTTCACGATCGCAATCGGATAAGCGCCTGGCCGTGCGGCCAACGTACCCAGTCCCATAGAAACAGGTGAGTGAGTATGCACAGAATGAGGCTGCAGAATCTGCTACTCTGTCCCTTAATCGGGAACATGATCGGTTCATACGTGAAGAAAGCTTTTAAAAGTGCAGCGTGAAATGTTATGATCATTGCACCTCTGAGATTTCTTCTCCGTAACTCCCTTGAACGGTAGGTGCACATGGAGACTTCTTAACTGCTCCTACTTCATTGACAATCCATCGTGTTCTAGCATTACTTTATCAATAAATCGTTCTGGGTAGTCACTCTGTGAAAACGTAATGCGTGAGAAATGAAGTTCATTATTGATGGTGTCCGTCGTGCATGTTTTTTCGCTCTTTGAATCAAATGACGAATTAGATTTATCTTTCTCTGAGGAGACAAAACTATGGAAATGGATATTCTGTCCATTTTACTTGGCTTTCCTACGCACCGATAACTGGACGGAGCTAGCGGCGTTTTTTGAATATATCTAGAAACGTTAGACTGATGTTCTTTTTCGAAATAGCCCCACAGAACACATTTAAAACAAAACATCAAAATGGTGAACAAGCTTGTTTTCAGAGATTCGTATTCGTTCCAATACATTTTGGTATATATTAGTACTTGGGAATAATATTTATTTTGGGAAAATAAATAATATCACAGATTTCTAGAAACGATTTCATTATGAGACCGGAAATCCGACTCGCCGCGATCCACTTATCCGATCATCGAGACTACTCTATGTACGGTCTTTGCGAGGGAGAGAGGTTGGGCCAGGGACGCTTCAGCGCTTTATTTCAAATTGGTTTTGGGCACATAAAGGGGAATTGTGCCGATGAATGCTTTTGTTGTTGCCAGCATCGGACAGCGAACCTGCCTTGCTTTTTCCTTTTTTCTAGAGTAAATTTTACGTTCGGATGGACATTGTTGAGCTCCTCAAGCTACGAATTGGTGTCCACATTTGCACTTGCTCTACATAATGCATCGCCAACGTATGGTCTGTATAGGGTGCTCCAGAGGATCTTTCTCAAGTTCGTCCATAAAGTTGTCAGCGAATATTAGTCCTGAAGGTAACCCCATTACAACCCCATAACTCTGGCTATATAACTCACCATTGAATTGAAACTGCAGGTTATGCGTGCATACGAAAATCAATTGTTTGAGTTTCGCATATGAGATCGATAGTTTCACTAATTGATACACGTATGAAGAAAAAGGTAATGGCAAATGACATCATCTGCTTGCCTTCGAGATTTAGGTCCATCAAAGCTTCTACATGATGAAAAGTGTTTCATAGACTTTGTATGCAAATAGAGAGTCTTGCTGGTTATAGTACGCCTCGTGAAGGCGTAATACGGAGAGTTGCAAATATCTAGAATGGGTCTCATGGGGACACCCTCCTTGTGTACGTTCGGAAGTCAATATAATCTAGGAGATGTTATACCCGTCGGTCGTATTCCCTCGAACAAGAACAACATCCATGTGGGCTATCCATTGGATGAACTGAAACAATTATAAGTATTCGGATTCACACACTCTTCCTTGTGCGCCCTGAAGGAATTCGTGCAAGCACTTGATCTGCCCTGATCAAATTCATCCACCCCAGAACAAGTGTCCAATCACTTCAACCTTTGAAACTGCGATCAATAATACACAAACAGTAACGTTTGGAGCCGTAGCTGAACCACTAGGACTCGAATTTCTCATTCCCTTTTTGTTCTTTTTGTTAGTCCTATTAAATGTTATGTAATGGCACAATTACGAATAACTGAAAACGGTCTTGTTCAACTCAATATTGTTGTT